TCTTAGAAGCTTGATCTTCCTGTCAAGTTGGTTCTCAGATTCAGCTTTGTACACCTTAAACCTATCTAAGACTTTATCTTTAGTTCTGAGAAGATACGTGTAACAATATCTGGAGTGATCGTCTATAAATGTCACAAAATATCTCCTACCTCCTCGAGTGAGAACTCGGTTTGAGTCACACACATCACTATGAATTAATTCGAGAGGTTCGGAGTTTCTAGTTATAGACTTGAAGGGTTTTTTAGTGTGTTTCCCTTGAACACATATCTCACACTTAGATGAGGGATCATGAGAGGATTTAGGAATAAGATTCAATTTGATCATTCTTTGCAAGGTTTGGAAATTGACATGTCTTAGTCATCCATGCCAGACATCACAAGACTCAACAATTTGTGCAACAGGAAACTCAGAAATTTCATTGGAACTGAAATTGTTAACATTGAGTTTGAAAAGAACATTACAGATAAAACCTTTTCCAATGAATACATTATTTTTGGTAATCACAAATTTATTTGATTCCTTGACAATCCTAAAATCATCTCTAAGGAGAAGAGATTCACTGATCAAATTGCGGCGGAGAGACGGAACATGATGGACGCCTTGCAGATTTAGAGCTTTCCCAGAGGTCATGGTGAGCTCTATACATCCACTTGCAGATTTAGAGCTTTCCCAGAGGTCATGGTGAGCTCTATACATCCACTTCCAATTATTTGTTTGGTGGAGTCATCTGCTAAGCTTAGAGGTCATGGTGAGCTCTATACATCCACTTCCAATTATTTGTTTGGTGGAGTCATCTGCTAAGCTTATGTTTCCTCCACACGATTCCTGATAAGTTGAAAACCAAGAGCGATCATTGCAAACATGAATATTAGCTCCGGAATCCAAGTACCAGTTAGTGAAAGAAGTTAGGGAATTCACAAGATAGGATGAAGAGGCTAACCTGAAGAAAGTTAGATTCTCTTCAATCATGTTAACTTTGTTGGATCCATTTCCTTTAGGAGCAGGTTTAGCCGGTTCCTTCTTCCGAAAAAAACAGTTGGGAGCCAGGTGGTTGGTTCTACCACAGACATAGCAGAACTTTCCATCAGACTTATGGCTGGAAGAGTTGGGATTAGATTCGGAAGAAGATTTGTTGAATGATTGATTGTTTTTCTTAAACTTCTTTCCTTTCGGTTTGAAATTCTTAGATTTAGGCTTATCCTCAACCAAGTTCACTTTAGCTTTTGATTCAGACTTGGTTTTGGAAGTTTGCCTATGCTGGTCTTCAATACGAATAGCCTTGAGGGCTTCAGTTAAGGTTAGATCTCCTTGCGTGTGCCGGAGATCTCCAACAAATCTAGATCAGGATGGAGGGAGTTTATCAATCAGACAGGAAACTTTATAGTCATCAGTAAAGGTGTTTCCTTTTGATTGGAGGTGACGGAGAAAATCTTAGAATTTATGAATTTGGTCATTAATGGGTTTGTCATCAACCATCATGAGCTTATTGAAGGAGAAGGAGGTGAAACACAGAATTCCGGCATCATCATAGTCATATTCTGCTTCAAGAGCATTCCATAGGTCCTTAGCACTTTTGAAACAGAATTCCGGCATCATCATAGTCATATTCTGCTTCAAGAGCATTCCATAGGTCCTTAGCACTTTTGAACTCATAATAAATATCATAGAGGTATTCTGCTTCAAGAGCATTCCATAGGTCCTTAGCACTTTTGAACTCATAATAAATATCATAGAGGTTGTCCGCAAGTGCACTAAGAATCCTATGACAACAATGATAGTTGATTTCTTTTGGTTTCATAGAGCTATAAAGGAGCTAGCGTCAGAACCAGAAGTGGAAGGAACGAGTTGTTTAGGATCAGGAGTCAAAGGTTGAGAATCGCTAGTTGAAGACTCGGGAATGTCTATAGCAGATAAGAGACCTAATGTGGTAAGCCAGTATCTCATCTAATTAGCCCACCGTTTATAATTAACACCGGAAAACTTTTCAGGTTTGGCACTTTTGAAATTATCAGGGTTAGCCATAAGTCCAATTTGAGTTTACTAATCTAGGCATTTGGTATCTGAACGAATAAATGATTTGTCAGTACTACTCAACTAGTAACTTAGAGAATTATGACTTAGGATATGAACTATAAAAAATCTGCACTAGAAATAAAATTTCAGAACTAATTTGCAGTAGATTTGAAAATTTGACAGAAGATAATGATTGCAATAATTAAAAGTTTTTTATGAACAGTAACTTTTTTATGTAATAAATCAATTAGTAAAATATAATGAACAGTAAACAATATAATTCGTGAACAGTAAATTTTTGTTTTTCTTTTAAACGGGAAAATAATAAAGCAATTTATTAAATTCGGGGGAACAGTAAACCCGATGAACAGAAAAAAAAATTTAACAGAAAATAATAAATAAACTAATTAAAATAGTAATTTCAGATTATATATTAACAGCAGGAAATTATTCTATCTTCTAGATTGCTGTCAAAAATTAAAACAATTAGTATAAATCTGAAATTAAAGGTTAGAAAAATCAGACCTGAACGGGTACAGTCGTGTTTTCACTGCCCTAGAAGATAGAGGACTCGTCTATCGCCCTGACGCAGTCGATCCTCACCCCCTAGCGGTAAAAGCCCCCGGAAAGCGGCCGACGTCTGTACTCGGACGAGAGTAGCAGAGCTTCTGCTCAGACGAAGATAGTTGCCCGATAAATGATTAACACAGTAACAAAATTTAGAGAGCGAGAAGCTTTGAGAAAGAAATGAGAATGATGTTCGTTTTTTTTTCTGTGATTTCTGAGGATGAGAGGCTGGCTTTATATAGGGCTCGAAGAGTTGCCCGTTACGCCCAATCCGCGCACTCCCCGCGTTCGTTACACCCCATCCGCGTAACTCCCCGCACCTTACTCTCCGCATATGTTACGAACGGGTCAATCAGAAGAAACGGTCAAAAAATAAAAACCCGTGAAGCAAAAAAAAGTGTGTACACGTTATGGCGAGGCGTGCGTAGGCATGTGTGAGTTATGCAAAACCCACAAAACCCAAAACAGTATTCAATGCCCAATAAAATGTGAACCAATATAAACATCTTGGACTTCTTCTCATTTTCCGATGTGGGATTATTCACAAAGGCAAAATTGCCTTTACATGAACCAAAAGTCCAACAGAAATAATATTACCCGTATCAAGATATCAAGATAATAAGCTAGCGTCACAAAAAATAAGAGAACAGAGGGAAACAACAATTCAGAAGCTTAACAATTCTAAATATGTGATTCAATAGATCACTAACTGATATGTATCTTGTCAATAAACTTAAATGAGAAGCTGCCCTAAAAGCCACACTGTTCTTAATTGTAATAAAGAATTTACAATATAATAATTTCTATGGTAGAGGCGCATGGGTGGTCATGTTTTTGTCAGCCGGAGCAAAGTTGTTCAAGGGCCATATTCTCATCGCCATTAACCATTTCCAGCGTGCTCCTCACAAGTGCCTCGGGAAATCCCATCTCAACCAGCTTCTGAACCTAGATTTTAGTATGAACATAAAGAGGGGGAAAAAAGAAAAGATTAAATCGAATTAAATATATGCCAGGAACCTTAACCAATGATGAGAAAAGCATAATGCTCGTTAACTCTTATCTATACCTTTTGTTCAATCCCAATAGATGCGGTCTTGGCAAAAGCCTCCGTCCAGTATTTGGCAGTCGCAACAAAAGTAGGATGGTTACGCAAATACTGCAAAAAAAAACTAAATAAATAAGTACTGCATTTTAAAGGGGCATCAAAAGCCCCAACAATCAACTACGGAAAGACCATTAAGTTTCTTATGTCCATAGCGTCCATAAATCAGTAAACAGTTTTACCTCAAAAAGACATTTAAAAAAAATCCTTAGATCAGTGTCCATCCTTAACCATTTTCTTGGCTACCACTTAGTTGTTTGCGATGTAACTATGTTGCATTCTAGAATATTGATGCAACATAAATTTGACCATCGTGGACAATAAACTAAGACGATCATCTACACGATATCACTGTTTCCCCTTTCCCCTTTTAGCAGTAAATGAAATTTAGAGAGGGAATAGAGTTGGTGTCATCAGACCTGTTGAGCAACCACGGCGTCCTGGGGATCATCAGGTGCGGGTGCTGAGAGTAGAGCCTGCAGAGAGAGCAGTGCGGTCTTCAGGGTGAGTGCAGGACTCCATTGGTCCTTCAGAATGTCCAGACAAATAGCTCCATTTTGACTACTGATATTGGGATGCCTTCAAAAAAATATTAACAATCAAGTAGATTGAGTAATAAAGTGGTACCAAATTAATTACTTCGATTGTGTCTTCTACTTTAATGTTGGTCCATTACGTTATACTGGATAGTGGCCCCATAATTATTTACTCGGGTATTATGTGCTTCTGTTTGACTAATTCATAAGAAATATGGTAAAATATATGAATTACACTAATCCTTATTAATATTTCAGATGCCCAATGTCCTGATCCATGGTCAGGTTTTTACTCAAACCAATAACACGCATTCTAGAGTCTCACAAGAAACATGAAGTTTATGTAGTTTCATGAGAAAACAGATGATTAGTATCAGAATCTCTAGATAATTCATTTTTATGCATGTTTTTATGGAGTCAGACGCCAATCATCTGTCCCAGACTTTTCATGCACGGTAATATTACAACCAACATAATTCCCTGTTCAATACAACTTTTGCTATACTTTAATTGAACTTAAAGCAAAATAAGCACAAGTGCTAATAGATGAGGTTCTTGTGATGCCAACAAGGCTTAAGAATGGGGTTATGATGAAAATCTTATCGAATGGAAATGATGCCCACAGGAAAACATGGTATTCAGAGAGTCTACGAGATACCAATGATCCCACAAAGCCATAGTTATGATGCAATCTGTCAATTCCTGGTTATAAAACGGTGTTGTGTTTTTTCTGTTTCTTTTTTATTTAACTAGGGGTCGATTCAAGAAATAAAACAAAGTTTTGGTTATTATTATTTTTTGTTTAACCAAGGGTCAAAGCAAATAAAATTAGGGAAACACAAGGACAGCTCTCTACTGAGTAATCTCTCTATTTTTTATCATTCCAACTTTGAATTTGTGCAACTTGGAGTTCCAGTATATTTAATAAGCAGTGTAAAGATGAAGAGCCTTAAAACTTATTTCTAGGGTTCAACTGGGAAATGTTATCGGTGGAAAAACAGGATCAACATTGATACAGTTGACAAAAAGCATGGTAATTGTTGTTGCTCATCAGATTAGTTTGAGGCTTGGTTCTATTAAGTCGAGTTGGTTTCAGATAAAGCCTCTGGGAACTGCTGCTAGCATTGACTGTCAATAGTTTCGACTTTCGACCACAGGTCTGAACAGGGATTTTAGCATAATCGAAAAGAGGGAAAAAATTAAATACAAAAACTAGGAAAAAATTAAATACAAAAACTAGTAATTGGAACTGCTCCAGCTAGAAGTTAGAACATTAATGAAAAGACTCGATGACAGGATCCTACATTAAGCTGCACTCATTATTTACTTATTTATTGTCAGATGCAACTAGCTCATGGAGCTCCCTCGCATCGATCAATGTACAAATAGTAAAGATACTCTGATGATCCAACCCTTATAAAACGGATGGACTAGGTAAATTAATCTTAAAATAGAATATCAAGTAAGAAGGAAAAAAATACAATGCCATCAGACGAAAGTTTTTCCATCTGCTAAAACCTTAAGTATTCTGCTTGAGCAAATATATGCTACTTACAGCCTATGGTGATTAAAAGATGTGAGATCATAGATATAGCATACCATCTATCAAAATAAGAACCTGGAAATAGCTGGGATTATCTAAGGATTTTTTTACACACTGGATGTTGTAGTAAGCGATGACCAACTTGACATTGTAGGTTTTCAGATCTTAACTGTACTGAAGATTACTACGGCCAAAGGAAAATAGAAGTGGCGGTGGGCCTTATTTCAGAAGAAACATGATGAATCAGAATTCAGAAGAAAGCCATTCAAAATGCCAAGTCAGAACTCAAAAGTTCGATAATAATGAATTTATACAAAAAAAAAGGTTCTCTAGACTTTTTTATGAAGTTGTCAGCCAGTCATTTTTACATCTCAGCTCAAGGACGAGGGAGGAAACTGAGGTCATTGTACATGTCAATAAATACTATATATGAACAAGTCTGACATTGTCAATGTCTAAGCAATCGTTTTCTCCCCAACCGTTTTGCTTCCACAAACCACTATATAGATAACAAATTTACAAGAATGTTTGCTGAGAAAAAAGAACAAAGTTAAAGGAAGAACACATAGTCAGATCGCAAAGTTGGGGGATAGAAAGCTTCTAGACAGAAGATCATGATTGCTACCTAACATGCACATAGATTTGTGAAACCTATCTTAAAGAAATATGTATTGATCTAGAGAATACAGATCAATTGCAAACTACCAGATATATTTAAGTACAAGATTAAGCAAATCATCAAAAAAACTCCTTGTGGGACATGACCTTGGTTCAAAAATAAATATCAGAAGATGAAAAAAAATAAAAAAGGCATAAAATTTATATGGAAACAAAAGTAGGATTCGAAGCCAAAGGTAAGTAAATGGTAATGATGAGGGAAAGGATCATACCAAACTTTTGTGATGAACTGCATTTTGGGAGGCTCAAAAGGATACCCGCCTGCAGATATAAAAAGGTCAAATATCACAAACCAAACCAATTTTTAATTCAATTTGAGGGGCTCAAAAGGATAATATAAGCATTTTCTATGCCGCGTGCTTAAATTTTTAGCAAGTACGACTTATGCATCCAGATAAGTTATCTGGCATAAGTTAATTTATGCAAAAGAACTAGCAAACATAACAACACCCTCATAAAAGTACAATTAGGATTTAGGAGTACAACTCCATCCTTGCCTTAACATGAATTTCCACCTGTAAACAGTACCTTTTGATGAAAAGGTTAGCCAGAGGAATCTAGCATCCCGAAAGAAAGAAATACGTTGACTGCATAATATGTAAAGAAAAACGTTGACTGCAGAATGCGTGAATAGTTTGATAAAACTATGCAACCTCAAGAAATATTTGAGACACAATATTTATAATGCACGACATTCCTATTAGAGCCAAGCTTAGGATGTTCGCTTATCTAAAATTAGCTATACCATCTTTCTCTTTTATAGCTTTTTTAAGAAAATCAGAGACTGATTCCTCTCAACACTCAAATAAAATGCAGCCATCAAGAATTAAAAAGAATACCTACTATACAGGGAAGTCTTAAATAATCAGTTCTCAAACAATAACAACAAGAACAAGGGACATAGGGGTGTGATTTGAAGATCTTTACCCTTGAAGCATATTCCTAATAGTGATGGGACAATGATTGAACTCCCAAGCCAATAGTTTGAAATATTTGTCTCCATTAATTTTTCATCATCACTAGCAAATATGATGTACTTTGAAATACTTCCTACTTAATTCAACAGTGAAGATAGAAAAATCAAAGGGACTGGACGACAAATATTTCACATACAGCTGAGCACATCCCAAGTTGAAATGATCATCCATTTTTAATTTTATTGGGTGTAAAGAATGTAATAATTAGAAAAGGCAATAAAATTTATCCTTTCTTTCTCCTTTTTCCTGACACTATTCTTTTCTTCCTCTTTCATTCTCTCTTTTTGGTTCAATACTTTATATGAAGAGATTCCTATTTGAGCACATCCAGTAGGTTGCAAATAAAGTAATAAAAAAAATCTCACCCTAACCCACCCACCACCACCCCAACTAACCCACAAGCCAACAACAATGACAGCATCTGCACAGAAGAAGGAAAGAGTGAAAGGAGAAAAAGAGAAACAACCAGCACAGTAAGAAGACTCATCAAATCACCCCATCATAATTCATACATACTACTACGCAAAACATGCAAAGAGATATTTACCTACATCGCATGGGGAAATTAACCACCCAACACCACTATGGAAGTCACTTGCTAATGCATTCTTCATTGTTGCATACGTATATACCAATACAGTTATATAAAGTACTATCAGTAAAACAATAACAGAAGAAGTATTCTTCCAATATGCACTTCAAGTTCACAAAATAATGAGTTTCTCTTATTTTCTTTTTTCTTTTTTTCCCCTCCAAATGAATGAGGCAAAAAAATTCCACTCCCTCCCAAAACAGCAGACACAAATTTACCAAGTCTGTTGGAGGCGTGATTCAAACTTCCAAACCTTGTGTAATCATAACCAAATCCCCCAAAGTTCCGATTTTCACAGAACAATGACCATTAACGTTCACATTCGTTAATAAATATCTATATGATCTCAGTTCAAAGTCAGAACAGTCCTTAAATTGATACACCAATGTCAAATGATGGTAGCTAGCTAAAAAGACCACATAAGTATTCTTCACAATAGTATCCTAAAATAAGCATTTCTCAATGATAATCACTGAAATCAGAAGAAGCAATCCCTTAAAGCACTCACTGAGCCCCCTATAACGCTGATCATCAAGGTTCAGCAAGAACTACGACAAACAAAGCCTAATTCAATTAAGAAGAAATCCTAAAAACTGCCTTCCAATAAACTTTTTAAAAAAAACCTAAAATTAGCACTTTCACGAAATTGATGCGATCCTTCCACAAATAAATTTTCAATCTCCTCCTAACAGCACAATAGACTAGGCAAATATCATCGAATTCAACAATTTCAAGAAAAAAGCGCATAAAGGTATCAACTTTGAGAAAGAGAGAGGGGTGCAGGGGCAAAGAGGGTAAATACTGGGAAGTTTGATGTCAATGTGGAAGACGCCGCCCTCGTAGGGAGTGCCGAGGGGGCCGGTGATGGTTCCGGCGAGATGAGTGAGATCCGAGCCATTGAGGGACAGCGTGACGCCGGAGACGGCGGTGTCCTTGTTGCACTCCGTCAGCTCCTTCTGAACCCTAGACAAATCCAACATCTTCCCCTTTTTTCTTTATTTCTTTCCTTCGATCAACTGATCTCTTCGATCTTTGATCTTTGATCAGAGAGAGAGAGAGAGAAGGGATTCTTGGAGTTGGAAGTGAATTGATTGTGGAAAGAAAAAGATGCGTATTTTGCTCGCGTCTGTGCCCTGGAGTTGTTTAATTTTATAGTGTAGCAGCGGAGCCGGTATAGCCTTTTCCAGTGGGGACAGGAATTTTTTTTGTTTTTTTATTTTATTTTATTTGTAGATTTATAGATGGGTTGTCGGGCTGTGTTTAGAAATTGGATGTGGGAGGATCTGGGATTCATAACCCAAATTAGCCTAGTCTCACGTATTTACCATTTTAACTTAAAAAGTGACGCCGGCGATAGTTTTATCTAAAATTTAATAAAACAGCGACAAATAAATCTTTCAGATCATCACCAGAAGTGTTTTTTAAGCAAGAAAATTAAGAGATTTTTATATATACCCGTCAAATTTCTCATATTTCTGATTTAACCTCTCAATGTTTAAATTTTGTAAAAAAAAACTCCTCTCTCCCTCCCTTCTCATCATCTTTTCTCTCATCCTTCTTGTCATCTCTTTCATTCTTTCTTTTTTTCTAATCGTCACCATTCTCTCTTCTTTCTTTCACATATCCTCACTTTTAAGGAGATTAGTTTTTTAAATGATTGGAGGATGAAAGAGGAGTAAGAAGCAGGGAGGAAGAGAGTGCAAGAAAAGAAGAGAAGGATGAGGTTAAGATTGTGGTGAGATGTTTAATTTTGGTGTTAGGAGTGGGTGAAGCAAGTAGGAAGAGAGTGAGAGAAAGGAAGAGGAGGAGAAGGAAGAGGGAATGGGAGAGAGAATGAGATGTTGGGGATTTGGAGTAAAAGAGATTGGAGGAGATGAAGAAAATTAGAAAGTGAGTATGATCCATGAAATAAAGTAGGAGAGGGAGTGAGGGAGAAGGGAAGGTTAGGGTATAGGAAGAATAAGGAAATGGAGAATATGGTGGGAAGAAGATAGTGGAAAAAGATGATGTTTTTTTTTTACAAATTTCAGAAATTTAAGAAAAAGAGATGGGTTAATTTAAAAACCATGAGAGATTAAGGGGTCTATATATAAAAAAAATTGCTAAAAAATAACTCCGGCGATTAGAAAAGTCTATTTGTCATCGATTTATCACTTTTTAGGTCAAATTGTCGCCGATGTTATTTTTTAGGCCAAGTGGTAAAACTGTGTCACTATTTAGACCAATTTGGTATTTTAGCCAAAATATATATCTGAGTAAACAATGGTTACTTGCATATATAGACTCCCCCTACAATAGTATCACAATGGTTACTTGCATATATAGACTCCCCCTACAATAGTATCACCTAATTGCAAACATATTCTTTATAGTTATATTTATTGCGAATAGAACCTCCTGAGTGTTTTTTTTCACTCTTAAAATAAAAAAATATATATTTATGGAATGCGAATAGACCCCTTATAGTTCTATTGGTGATGATAGACCCCAAATTGCCTTTTTTTGTTGAACTTTTTAAAGAGTTGGAGAGTTGGCTAAGCGGGTGTATTCACACTTGGGCCAATATTGTAGGGGGTCTATTCAAAATAAATAGAATTACAATAGGTCTATTCTCAACTAAATGATACTACAAGGGGTATATTCGCAATTAGCCCTTAAAACAATTATCACTAATTACATGAACGACAAGTGATTTTATTCTTATATTGTTGTTATAATTTGGATAAATAACTTTCTTTTAACTATTATTAACTTCACCTTCTAGCTTTCATATTATTATGATTCATGCATCAACATTTTAGATCAATGTTTAAAGTTCATCAATTGCTTAGTTCATCTCCTCCATCCTCTCGTCTCTTTTCTAGCTGTCCAATTATCTCTCTCAATAAAAACTAGTACAAACTAAAGCCGAGTGATAGATTTTGAGATTATGAGAATCGTTGAGATACCATATGTAACTTTTTTTTGGATAAAATCGATGCAAAAACATGTATTATCTGCTTTACTTAACTTCAATATATAATCCGTTAGCTAAAAGTTATTTGATTTCATTTAGGGCCTGTTTGTTTGCACAAAAGTAATTGTGAAGTAGCTGAAGTAAAAGAAGTAGAGGCTACTTCTGCTACTTCCAAGCAAAAAAGTGTGTTTGGTTATATGAAAAACTTACTTCCAATACTTCCCTAAATGCTTATGTGGCGCCTACGTGTCATCCTTACTTCTAAAATATTTTTCCAAACCTCAATACTCAGAAGTAGCTCGGAAGTAGTTGAAATGCATACTAATTATGACATAAATAATTTTTTTTATTAATATTTCCTTTATTAGTTACTTCTAACAACTTTTCATTGATAAAATTACTTCTTAATAATATTTCCAAATGTTATCCAAACAAAAAAAGTAAATGAAGAGGAAGAAGTTCTGCTTCCATTACTTCTAAAAATATATGAAACAAACAAAAAAAATGCTATTTTCACTACTTCCTACTTCATAGCTTTGAAAGTTACTTCTATAACCTACTTCTTACTTCTAATACTTGAATAAACTTCTTAATCCTGATTTAACGTTTTACAAGATAAACTCATAAATGTATAACAGGATTTTTTCCCCCCTTGCCAACTTCTTTTGAGTAAACTGTGGATGACTACCCCGAGGGTTTAACAATAACCCACTAATACAAGTTTAGCCATATGCAAATGTAGTTGAAACTACTCAGAAACTTTGTCAAAAATTAAAAAGAAATGATAAGAAAAGAAAGAAACTACACATAAACAATACAAAGCAAAATAAAAAACTTTGGGAATTTTAGAAAATCCATAAAGCATTTGGTTTTCCCCCTTAACACTCGTAACATCGTCAGCCTAAATTTTAAGTTCGCGAACATAGAATATCGCATAAACATCATGGTCATTGGGTGTTAAGTGAAAAAAAATCAAAACTTCGTTTTGAGGTTTTCTTCAATTATTAAAGTTATTGGGATAGTGAAATTCACCCTAATATTTATCCATTTCACCTACATATTTTGATAGCGTAAAGGTGCTAATTATGTGCAATTTTATGAATTAAGTGGAAAATTATACAGAGTTAACCGCTAATTGCAAAAAATCAATCACAACAAGAAATATAGGACTTACTCTGAAAAAAGAATAATATAACTTACTTGAGAATTGAATTCAAAATGTGTCAATGTTTTTAAAAATCAAGTTGACCTTAAGACGGTTTCTTACTTGTAACCATACTTTATTACTCTTAGTCATTACGTTGCGGTTGTCATGAAAATTAGAAGATGGATATGGAATTAATGGGTGGTTCTGCAATCGGGTTGCATGTGGGGCTCTCTATTGGATCCGGATCCGATATGACCCGCATTCCGAGAAAAATGATTGCAAAGGGTAGTTAAATTGCTCTCTCTTTATGCAAGTTTGGCCAATAGGATTGGAATATTCTCGTGAAGAGATTGTTGGGAAGGAATTTGGAGGGTTCTTTGAGTATATTTTGGGGCAAGTTTAGGTGTGGCTCTACGATTGTTAAAACATTAGACCAAAATGTTTCTTACTTCTTTCTATTTAAAAATGTGGATATTGATTGGAGCTTACGTTATTGGTGGAATTTGTGGATTTTCTTTTGAGTACCACGGTCCGTAATCCTTTTTGTTGTTAGTCGTAGTTTTATCAAATAAATGCACTCAATCACATTATTTTTATCGTAATATTCTTATATCATTTAATCATTCGGTGCTTTTACTATATGTTTATATCTATATTAGTAAATGAAAAATAAAGTAGGAATAGGCAAGAATGAAGGAATGGAGGAAATTTCTTCATTTCATAGGTTTTGATTTTAAGGAATTATGTTCTTTCTTTGCGGTAAAATGATAAATTTGAATGGATTTTGTCTATTTTTTTCCCTTAATTTAATGCTCTCTCTCTCTCTCTCTCTCTCTCTCTCTCTCTCTCTCTCTCAAAATAAGTAAATAAAACCTATAAATTCTTTTACAATCAAATCTAAAAACAATTGAATTTTTACAGCCAAATTAAAAATAAGACCTCTAATATTTTATATTGTAAAGATGAAAATGATGGGTTTAGAATACTAAAATGCTTCTATTAGTCTGAAAAAATTATAATGATCGAGGTTTATTGTAGAAGAGTTATAGAAAATTTACAGGACAAATTTAGACCAATGATATTGGAATAGTATAGAAAAGAGAAAATAAAGATACAATAATACAATAGCACAAAAAAGAACTGAGAAGTTAAATAAGAAAGTGTTAGATCTGAATCATAAAACTTGAGATCTAAAACCATAAAGCCATGATTAATTCAAAGAGATTAAAAAGAATCATAAAAGAGCGGAAGCTTATACCTGAATCCATAGATGAAAACTTGATTTGGGTTTTGGATCTTCTAACCTTAGGGTTTTTCTCTAGCCGAATTTCTCTCTCGATGGGGGTGAAGAGAATTAGAGAGTGTAACCCTACATTAGGGACCATAACCCCTTATTTATAGATGTTGTACATTTACAATTTGGCCCCTCAACAAATCACAATTACAACCTGGTATCTGCACATATAACCCCATGACTTATTTAAATACCCAATTAATGTCTATTTTCAACTGGTCCTCCTTAGTGAGGTCAAAACCAAACATAATGTAACAGAGTGTCTTAACTGAATACTTTATTCTGATCAGACAATACAACCAAACATAAAGCACCACAATTACAAACTCCCACTAAAACATAATATCCTCAAATAATACCACACCCATATGAGTAGTATGCTCTTGAAAGACCTTAGGTGGCAGTCCCTTAGTAAGAGGATCAGCTATCATGGAGTTTGTCCCAATGTGCTCTATGGATATCTATCCACTCTGTACTCTTTCTTTCACAACCAGGAACTTAATGTCAATATGTTTTGACTTAGTTGAGCTCCTGTTGTTATTGGAATACATTACTGCAGATTTATTGTCCCAATATAACTTTAGTGGTCTTTCAATATTTTCCAAAATGCGCAATCCCGTGACAAAATTTCGTAGCCATATTCCCTGATTGGATGCCTCATAGCAAGCTACAAATTCTGCTACATAATGTAGCAGAGTGTCTTAACTGAATACTTTATTCTGATCAGACAATACAACCA